TGGCCTGCTGTGTTCATCCAGCTGTACACCTTGTTATCTCCTTTGAGAGGATGTTGATGTAGCCAATGGGTTTTTACAACAACCAATGGTTTTCATGTCACCATCACAGAGGCTCGTTTGTCTTTAAATTCTAGTTTGGTATTAATGAATTTAAATTTCACCAGCTGCCTGGTCCTCAACATGTTAGTGTAGGTTTCTACTCCAGTGACATGACGACCACACCACCATCTTCCCTATACAATGCAGCAGCAGCAAGATTATAGCCATACCTCAATAATAAAGGCTTGTGTGGGGGCTCTCCAGTATACATACACACATACACCCCCAGCATTAAACCTGCTGTAAGAACGGTCTTTCACTCTCTCACCACGCTCCCATACTCTTAACAGCATAATGTGTTGATTGTGGGTTTCTTACACACCCTTTTTTTGAACAATAAAGGAATTAAGGGATACGGTGAGAATGTGGGTAAGTGGATCTGAGTCCACAAAGATCAGCCATGATCTTATTGAATGGCGGAGCAGGCTCGAAGGGCCGGACGGCCTACTCCTGCTCCTAGCTCTTATGTTCTTCAATCAGGCAGGGCATTAATTTCACTGTTTACTTAGGGACTAGAGCTGTTAATGATTCTGTTTTCTAAAGCAGGGAGTGGTGACCTTAATTGCATACCATTCACTCAGAGGTGGGAGGGTGGGGGTAATTCCTTTGGTACATTGTGTTTATTCTTTCAAAACACCGCACTTCTACAGCTGCAATCGAGAAAGGACTCTGCTTCTTGTGCATTTTAACCTCATTTAGGGAGGGATACTCTGTTCTGCACTTTCAATGTGGTTATAGACAGGACCATCGGGGAAGACTGTAATCTATCACAGTGTCACAGTGTCACTGGGCTAGTATCAAGGGACCCAGATTAAGATTATGAGGATATGGGAGTTCAAAACAGTGAAGGTGCCAGGGAGCTACTGGGTTAAATCAGGAATGAGAGGGCATGGATTTAGTAACTACAAGAACAAAGCATAAGGATCAGGAGCAAGAATAGGCCATTCAGCCTGAAGAGAAGCAATCTACTCATGCTAATATCTTGGAAACTTCATTCAAGTCCCCTCTTAACTTCTAAACTCCAAGGAAAATGACTCCACTCTGTGTAATCTGAAGTTACTAAACTAATACTAGGTCAGGGAAAGACAGTGGAGCTATCACTGGACTAGTAATCCAGAGGTATTAAATTCAGCAGGTTTGGCAGGAGCTGTGGAACCAGAACAGTTTCTCTTCAAGTCACCAGACCCAAAACGTTAACTCTGATCCTGTCCACAGACGCTGCCAGACGCACTGAATTCATTTAGCACTGCTTCCGATTTGCAGCAGCCGCAGTACATTGTTTTGTTTTAACAGTAAACAGAGGGGCCAGGTTAAAGCTCTGCGAGGAGTTCAAATCAGCATTAGCAGCTGTGGACTGCAGGGTTTGCGTTACAAGGTGAGGCTGGATAGTGGGACTTGTTTCACTGGAGTGTAGAAGATTGAGGGGTGATCTTATAGAGGTTTATAAAATCACGAGGGGCACAGACAAGGTGAATAGCAATTTTTTTTTCCTCCTAAGGTGGGGGATTTCAAAACTAGGAGGCATATTTTTAAGATGAGAGGAGAAAGATTTGAGAGAGATAAAGGAGCTTATTTTTAAAAAAAAACAGAATGGAATTGAAGGTTAGTTTCAGTTTCATGGTCACTATCATCTATTGTTGTAAACACCTCATCAGTGAAGGAAATCTGTTGCCCTTTCCCAGTCTGGTCACCATATGACTCCAGACCAACTGCAACATGGCTGACTCTACACTGCCTTGTGAAATAGCTGAGGGAAACTCTCAGTTCAGGGGGCAATTAGGGATGGACAGTAAATGCTGGTCTTGCTACTGACACCCACATCCCTTGAAAGAACAAAATGTAGAAAGCTCTGAATTCTCTTTAGATCACCCTTGTTCTGGAGTTTTTCTGCATCATAAGTAAATGATTAAACTTTGAATCCATTCTTCACTGGTTGTGACAAGGTGGGAACACCTTCCTGTTAAAAATTGGACTTTCAAAAGATTAATCTTCAGTAGACAATTTAAACCCAAAGTGGAATTTTATCCAGTGTTGGAGGTGAACAGTAAACAATGGGAGTCAGAGTCTGCAATAATGTTTACACAAGAAACTTTATATATTAACAATTAAATTGTTTTATAAACGATAAAGTATAGAGAACATAGATAGCAACTGTTTTGACACCTACCTCCTCGTAGCCTAAAGGTGATGAACAGAGTGAGCATTAACTGACCTCTGGGTTTTAAACCATCCTGCTACACCATCCAAAAGCAGCTGTCATTCTCCCTGTCTGACTGGGGGCTGTAGCCGAGATGCTGTTTACTTTGCCGTTAGTTGTTGCAGACTCCTGTCTCTCTCTCTCTCTCTCCCTTGAGATCATGTCAGTAAATCACAAATGATCAAGTTGAGACAATGCACTTGAATACACTTTAAATTTAGTGGAGACTAAAAAAAAAGACCCTAAAGATGAACAGGGTCTTGCTGTCAATTTAGCCCTCACAGTTAGTGGTCATAGAGTCAGAGCCGTAGATTCATACAGCACAGATAAGGCCCTTCAGCCCATCGGGTCTGCACCAACATTACTACCACTAAAAGTGCACTAATCCCAATTTCTTGCACTTGTCCCAAATCCTTCGACGTTATTTTCATTCAGTGTTCATTCCATTTTATTTTATAAGGTTTCCAGCCTCCACTACCTTCCAAGCCAGTGCATTCCAGATTCCCACCACCTGCTGAGTGAAAGTTTATTTTCTCAAATCCCCTCTGTATCTCCTGCCTGTTACCCTAAAACTACACCCCCTCATGATCGACACCTCAACTAAGGGGAACAGCTGCTCTCTTTAATCACCCTGTCTACACCCCTCAACCATAACCCCCCCCCCCCCCCCCCGCCACCCCCAGACTTCTCCTCTCTAAAGAGGACAATCCAAACCTATTTGTTTCTCCTTAGAGCTCAATTGTTCCACCGCAGGTAATATCCCAGTGATGATAAATACAGCCCTTTCACTGTGACCAGGGTCCATGGTCTGATTCACAAAGGGCCAATGCCAGGCAGGGCCAATACAGGGTTTGCTGCAGACCCCTCAGGCCAGGCTGAAATGCTGGTGCTGTGTGAAGCTTACCTGAAGTACCTGGTTTCCTTGTACTGTTTATTCCCGATTCATACAGCTGCAGGGATAACCCCAGTAGAAAACCATGCGCATGTTATGTACATGCTCACACAGACCCACATACATGTACCCATAAATGTACTCACACACGCACCCATACAATAATTTAAAGTGCCAAGCATCAACAGTAGGCTTCAGCAGAAGTCTTGAACATTAACTGTTGAAATTTAGTTATGTATGCATGCAGTGGCTCAGGATTTGATAAACTCTCCATACTGCTGTTCACAGAACACAGCCAGGCATGGTGAGAAATGAGAATTGCCAAGTCCAAAAAAGTGACAGCTGCTGGTTCCACAGAGTAACAGGTTGCTCACCCAGCCCAACATCTCAGAGCTCAGTGTCAATGCTTTACATTGATGTACGCTGCTGTAAAGCCCTTGCAACACTTTATTACCACAAAAAGGTGCTACATAAACTACAAAGGTCACTCTCCAAATTAACAGATGGGGTCATGCCGACATTTTCTCTGCTTTCGAGGGTGCAGGACAGGACTGTCTGTCTGTGAACTCTCCTGAAGGGAGCAGGGTGAAAAGTGGGGAGAGGCTTAAAATCCTGGGCACTGAGCCCCAATCTTTAGCTGGCTGCTGAAGTTCTGCTCTGAGATTTACCCCTTGATCAGTTAACAGCAGGCAAAATAACAAACCTGTGTACACCACCACCTCCCAGAATCCAGGGGGAATATCTGGATTCAAGTTCAGGGGGGAAGAGTTGGGGGGTGGGGAAAGAGTGTTGGAGGCGGAGGGCGGATGAGGAGTTACCAGGCAAGAGTTTTCTCCTCCTCACAGGGACGAAGCTGCTGGACATGACTGTGATCACTGTCAGCGTTCAGACCTGGGGGCGGGGGAGATCTGCAGCGGAGTGCGGCTGGCTGTTAATACACTGAGATTTCCAAATGCCCCTGCCTAACAAAAAAGGGGCCAACTCCCCCACCTGCCAGTCAGACACATACCCCCGTTACTGCCAGCCTGACCAGCTAGCAGTCAGACATCGGAACCACTGCGTGGATCAAGACTGGGGGCTGTGTAAGGAACGGGTCAAAGTGGCTGTCTTAGAGGGGACCATGTCACCACCAGCACCGCTAGTGCCCCGAGACAGAGGTAGGAAGGGCAAGTGTAGCCTCACTGCAGCGAGGGTAAAAGGCAGCATGTGGATCCAGGATTACTGACAACCCCAACAAGGAACACAAACTGCCTGGAACAAACCACCCGTTTCTAAATTGCAACTTGGACGGGAAAAGAAATGCAACAGCAACATTTAGGAGATAGCAAGAAATGCCAATGCTGGAAGTCAGAGTCGATACAGTGTGGAGCTGGAGGAACACAGCAGGTCAAGCAGTATCAGAGGAGCAGGAAAGTCTACGTTTCAGGCCTAGACCCTTCATCAGGACTGGGGAGGGGGAAAGGGAGCTGGGATGGTGATAGGTGGATGCAGGTAGGGGGTGGTGGGGATTGGTCAGTGGGAAGGGAGGGGCAGATGATAGGCGAGATAAAAGATGGACAGGTTGTGTCAGGTCAAGGAGGTGGGGATGAGAGGGAGGGCTGGACATGGGATGAGACTGGGGGGTGGACAGATTTTAGCTTTAAAAATTCAAGATTCTAAAATCTCTCCATCCCCGGCCTCATTCCATGTCCAACCATCCCTCTCATCCCTGCCTCCTTGACCTGACACAACCTGTCCATCTTTTTTCTCACCTATCTACCCCTCCCTTCCCACTGACCAATCCCCACTACCCCCTACTTGTAACCACCTACCATCACCCCATCTGTCTTCGCCTTGCCCCACACTGCCCCCCAAATTTATTTCAGAGCTCCCTTCCCCCTCCCCAGTCCTGAAGAAGGGTCCTGACCTGAAACGTCAACTTTCCTGCTCCTCTGATGCTGCCTGACCTGTTGTGTTCCTCCAGCTCCACACTGTAGCAGCAACATTTAAAAACAGCTGATCAGAACACAGCGAGATATAATCGAGGGAGAGGCGCAGGATCGTGTATCGAACCCGAACAACTTTCCTTCAGGATAAATTGCCTGACTCTGCACTTCCAAAAGCACCATGCTACATATGTTCATTCAGAAAGCATAGAGTCAGTGAAATTATCCCATCATGTTACAGAAGTACACATTCATTAGAATATTGATTTGTTAACATGTGGATAGACATGAAGACTCTGTGTATATTCGAGGCACTGCAATATTTCCTGGTGTGATTCTGTCCACGTTATGGGGAGGCCTAGGCTCAGTGGGCCTGCTTTCTCACACCTGTGCCATTGGTCGTAGGTCTGGAGACACCTGTAGGAGAGACAGACAGGGCTGTTAGCTTGCTGGGAATCACCCGGAGGGGATTTCACCAACAGAGAAAGCTTCAGAAACCCACTGACCACCCTCCCCTCCCAGCCTCCTTCAACTGCCAAACCCCCAAGACATAAGCCCCTGCCCCCAGAAGTGACAGCTTAGTGGGTGTTATCATTAGACTGTCAGTCCTGAGATCCAGCTAACGTTCAAATCCCACCATGGCAGATGGTGGAATTTGAATTCAATAAGTATCTGGAATTAAGAGTCTAATGATGACCATGAATGCATTGTCGATTGTCAGAAAGTCCCATCTGGTTTATTAATGTCGTTTCGGGATGGAAGATGCCATCCTTACCTGGTCTGGCCTACATGTGACTCCAGACCCAGAGTAGTTGACTCTTAAACAGCCCTCTGGGTAATTAGGGATGGGCAATAAATGCAGCCTAGCTAACAACAGTCTGATCCCATGAATGAATTTTTTAAAAAATCCTGTCCGTCAACTGGCAATCCCAACCATGCAACGCCCCCGCCCCCACTCCAGCCCCTCACCACCAACAGACTCCTCCTCACACGAGGTCCTGCGCCATACACAAACGAAAATTACTAAACAAAATCTTAATCTCTGACGGAGGGTGTGACACCAGTTGGTGTACAGATACCTCTCTGCGAGGTGGGGGCGGGACAGACAGCCACCAGTTAGGGTACAGATGAGAGGAGGCAGGGAGCCGAACAATGAAACGGAATTGTTTCAATCCTTGCCAACAAACTGAAAGTGGAAATTGAAAGTAAGTGAGTGAGGCCGAATGAGTCACAGTAATCAAATACTCACACTGAAGTCACAGCCAGTACATTTCCGGATGTCATCAACAGTCAATCCTTCAAATATTTCAATCAAGGTCAGACCTTTGTTCTTATCAACATCAAAGACAGCCTGCAAAATATTTGAACAGATGTTACATCATGAACCCAGCCAGGAGTCTGACACGTCAGAGCCCAGTATCTCTCCAAGGGGTATCCCAGTGACAGACTGGCCCTGATACTGCAACTGCTCCCCACCACCTCAAAGCTGATCCTTCACAGCTCGACATGCTAAGTACAACAAGGGCAGTCCCAGGCTGTGGGAATACACTCAGTCAACAAAACCCCGTCCAACTTGGGATACAGCCCTGGAACCAGCTCATCTTCCTACACCGCACCTCAAAGGCTGTAATTCAACAAATAAACCACAATCCTGTCTCCATCTAGCACAAAGTCAGATACAGAGTAAATCTCCTTTTAGATAGAAGTAGAGCTCACTCTACACTGTCCCCCATCAAACACTGCCAGGGCAGGGACAGCACGGGGTATACAGAGTATAAGTGAGTCTCTTGGAAGTACAGCTCTTTCTGTGTGCCTGTTCTGGGATTATTGGATGGTTGGAAACACTAAGTGCTGTTAACAGTTAGTTTCATGTATCAGGCACGCCCCAGGGGAAAGTGTTGTACACACTCCAATCCCAGTTCATTGTATCAGTGACAGTGAGAGGCAGGCAGCAAAACCAGGGGACAATTCTACAATGCCAGAAGACAGCAATTGATAGAAAAGAAAGGAAGGCAATATTTGGGCATACATTGGAGGATGGGAAAGACGGGAAGGGTCAGCAAAAGGAAGATAAAGGGAGGCACAAAAGAGACAGAGAAAGCGCGAGCACGGCTGCGGAACAGCATCAAATCAGAGGGTGGCAGAGACGTCTCAGAGGGTGGCAGAGACGTCACAGAGGGGAATTCTGGGAGGAAGCACTGCAGTCACCATGACTGGGGAGCAGATCATGACAAGACACCCTCAGGTGATGCTGCCTGGTTTGGAGTGTATTAGCTAGAAGGAGAAGTTGGACAAACTTGAATTATTTTCACTGGAGCATCAGAGGCTGAGGGGCAACCTGATAGAAGTGTATTTGACAGGCATGGTTAGGGTGGATAGTCAGTGTCCTTTTTTCCAGGGTGGGAATGTCAAATATGAGGGGGCATAGGTTTCAGGTTGGGAGTGGGTATAAAAAGATGTGTGAGGCAAGTTTTTTCGTTTTTATGCAGAGAGTGGTAGATGCCTGGAACAGACTACCAGGGAAAGTGGTAAAAGCAGACAATAGCTATGTTGAAGAGGCATTTAGACAGACACATGAACAGGCAGGGAATAAAGAGACACGGACCATGGGCAGGCAGATGGGATTAGTTTAGAATGGTATCATGGTCAGCACAGACACAGTAGGCCGAAGGGCCTGTAGGGTCACAAGGAGGCCATGCAGCCCTTTGAGACTGCCCCACTATTCAACACGATCATGGGTGATCACCCAAGTCTGTCCCATGTTGCTGCTTTCACTCCACGTCCTTTGAAGCCTTTGCTAATGTTTGAGCATTACTCGAACTTTCCAACTCATACATCCCATAATACCCCAAACTCTACCAATGTACACTTTAAATATATGCAACTCACAGCCTCCTGAGCGTCTGGGTGACAGAATTCTAAAGATTCCCTACCCTCTGAATGAAGACATTTCTCCTCAACTCAGTCTGAAACGACTGACCGCTAACCCGGAGATTGTGACCCTGTGTTATTCATTCCCCAGCCTCAGTCTCAACACCTTCGAGCCTCATAAGGATTTTCTAATTGACTGAGCATGTCTCTCATTCTTCTAAACTCCAGTCAATATCGTCCCAATTCACTCAACCCCTCACCCCAGGGACCATCTGAACAAATCAGTCAACCCCCTCCAATATTGTAGCGGCTAAAACTGCATACGGCACGGGGTTAGATACAGAGTAAAGCTCCCTCTACACTGTTCCACATCAAACACTCCCAGGACAGGGACAGCACGGAGTTAAATACAAACTAAAGCTTTGTGTGTTTGCACTAAAACCTGATCCGGATGGAAAAGTTTGCTTCACTCCTGTACTCTAATCCCCTTTCAGTAAGGATCAACATTAGAAAAATAAGGGGAAATCAGACAGAAACTTATAAAATTTGCACAGGACTAGACAGGGTAAACATTGGAAGGATGTTCCCAATGACCACAAATGGGATAAGCCATTTAGGACCGAGATATCTTCACCCGGAGGGTGGGGAGCCTGTGGAACTCAATACCACAGAAAAAGTGTGTGAGGGCCAAAACATTGATGTAATGGGGACAGCATTCCGGATGGACGGATGGGGAGAGGGAAGGGAGATGGGGAGAGCGGAAATCTCCGAGTTACTCAGTGACACGCGCTGAGGCTGTTGCCGACGTCAGGCCGTTGAGTTTGAGTGGGTTCTTTGGAGAGATTGGGCATCGCTGTTGTTGAGGTCAGTGATGATTGTGTGTCCTCTGTTAGGCTGGTCAACATCACATGGAGGCCAGACCAAGTGAGGACAGCAGATTTCCCTTCTGAAGGAGCTGGGATTTCACGGATGCTTTCTCCAGTTTCTGCATGCAGAGGTGGAGGGGGGGGTCCCTGTAGCAGCTGGCGGGGGTCATGGGGGAGCTGTGAAAGGGTGGGTCGATGCAGCAGCTGACGGTATGGGAGGGGTTCAGTGGGGAACAGTGGTGAGGGGGCTGGAGAGTGTGAGGGGAGCCCTGAAGCAATTGGCAATGTGGGAGGGTTCAGTGGGGAGCTGTTTAGGGGGGCATCACTGTAGAAGCTGACTGTGGTTGAGGATGGTGGGGGCAAATGGAGGTCATGGGGGGGTGCGGTGGTCAAAGACAGCTGCTATCATAAAAATTTAATCTACTAATAAAAACAAAAACAACAACTCACTGTTACTGATTAGTGTTAATCACTAATCAAAAAATCACTAATAAAATCACAACTCTGGTGGTGCACAGGACCTGAATATTCCCGACCTCAGATACTGACAGTCATTCAAATAATTCTCAACCTCGGACACAAATAGCCAGCTCCTTTCCTGAGACTCCATGAAGACCCCCCACCCCAACCCAATCTGATTTATTCACATCGAGTTGTTTCCCTTCTCCCCAGCTAATACTGACATCCACCTCTCAGGTTTCCTATCAGTGTAGGGTGCTCCTCAGACAGCACCTTCCAAACCCATGACCACTTCCATCTAGAAGGACAAAGGCAGCAGATACATGGGAACACCACCCCCTGCAAGTTCCCCTCCAAGACACTCCCCATCCTGACTGGGAAATATATCGCCGTTCCTTCACTGTTGCTGGGTCAACAACCTGGAATTCCCCCGCTAAGGGACATTGTGGGTCAACCCACAGCACATGGACTGCAGTGGTTCAAGAAGGCAGCTCACCCCCACCTTCTCAAGGGGCAACTAGGGACAGGTAATAAACGCTGGCCCAGCCAGAGACACCCAGGAATGAATTGCTTTTTAAATCTTCTCAGTGTAAATGTGTGAAAATGGGACTCTTACCTTCTCAGTGATGAGACGGTTTACACAGTTTTTCCCAGTTAGTGGTAACGTACATTTTTCCAGGATCTTGTGTGCTCCTCCCTGCAACAGACAAACAGAGTGTGCTTTAGTTCAGCGCCTGTGTAGGTCACATGTGCTTCATGAACATTAACGTCCCTCTGTCTTAATACTGACCATACAAGGCAGCCCCAGGTTAATACTCGGGTGAGGGGTGGTGGGGACGTTGGTGTGTGAGGGGGACTGGGGGTGGGGGGTTGCTGTTCTGAGAGGGGTAAAGAGGGATAAAAGAGGTTTGGGGAGATTATGCCTTGGCTTATAGGCTCATGGAGATACACGTTTAGCATCAGCATTTGGATGCAGCCCAGACGAAAAACAAAACCGCAGCTTGTCATGGGGACATTTCCCCAAAATTCACAAATCCCAGTCTCTACTGCACAGCTGTCATGCTGTCCTTGACCCCTTCTCCAACCCCCCCATAACCTCCATCCCCTACCACAAAACCTTCTCCTCCCACCGTCAGCTTCTACAGTGACGCCCCCCCCCACCCCAAACAGCTCCCCACTGAACCCTCCCACATTGCCAATTGCTTCAGGGCTCCCCTCATACTCCCTGGCCCCCTCACCACTGTTCCCCACTGAACCCCTCCCATACCGTCAGCTGCTGCATCGACCCACCCTTTCACAGCTCCCCCATGACCCCCGCCAGCTGCTACAGGGACCCCCCCTCCACCTCTGCATGCAGAAACTGGAGAAAGCATCCGTGAAATCCCAGCTCCTTCAGAAGGGAAATCTGCTGTCCTCACTTGGTCTGGCCTCCATGTGATGTTGACCAGCCTAACAGAGGACACACAATCATCACTGACCTCAACAACAGCGATGCCCAATCTCTCCAAAGAACCCACTCAAACTCAACGGCCTGACGTCAGCAACAGCCTCAGCGCGTGTCACTCAGTAACTCGGAGATTTCCCCTCTCCCCATCCGTCCATCCGGAATGCTGTCCCCATTACCTTTGCACAGTGCTCCATCGTAACCACCACCTTGGTGTCAGCACTGGCCACCAGGTCCATAGCTCCACCCATTCCTTTCACCATCTTCCCCTGAAACAGAAAGCACAGCACCTCAGACACACCAGTGGGAACAGACAGAAATTCACTGAAGACCCTCAGGTGGCACCTTTCAAACTCACAACCCACTTCCATCCAGAAGGACAAGGGCAGCAGATACATGCCACCCCCTGCAAGTTCCCCTCCGAGCCACTCCCCATCCTGACTGGGAAATATATCGCTGTTCCTTCACTGTCACTGGGTCAAAATCCTGGAATTCCCTCCCTAAGGGACATTGTGGGTCAACCCACAGCACATGGACTGCAGCGGTTCAAGAAGGCAGCTCACCCCCACCTTCTCAAGGGGCAACTAGGGACGGGCAAGAAATGCTGGGCCCAGCCAGTGACACCCACAGCCCAGAGGATGAATTAAAAATCCCTCCACTACCTTACATAGTTACCACAGTGACCAGCAGTCAGAACAGGCTATTTGGCCCCTCAAGCCTGCTCCGCTTTTTGATAATATCATGGCTACTTCGGGAGTATGATGGTAAATAAAAAGGTAAGCAGCAGGTTAGCATGTGTGCAGGAGGGTTTAAGTTCAAGGCAGACTATGAAAGAAGCAAAAAGGAAGGATAACTCAGGAGATATTATGAGAGATGTTGGAAATCATGAGGGTAAGAAAGCTAGCATAAAGGCACTTTACCTGAATGCTCGTAGCATTCGTAACAAAGTTGATGAGTTAACGGCACAAATCATCGCGAATGAATATGATTTGGTAGCCATTACGGAGACATGGTTACAGGATGGTCACGACTGGGAGTTAAATATCCAAGGGTACCAGATTATTCAGAAGGACAGACAGGAAGGTAAGGGAGGTGGTGTAGCTCTGATATTCGAGGACGACATCAGGGCGGTGCTGAGACATGATGTAGGTTCTATGGAGAATGAGGTTGAATCCATTTGGGTGGAAATTAGAAATTCTAAGAGGAAAAAGTCACTGATAGGCATAGTCTATAGGCCACCAAATAATAACATCACTTTGGGGCGGGCAATAAACAAAGAAATAACTAATGCCTGTAAAAATGGTACGGCAATTATCATGGGGGATTTTAATCTACATGTAGATTGGTCGAACCAGCTCGGTCAGGATAGCCTTGAGGAGGAGTTCATTGAGTGTATCCTTGATAGTTTTCTTGAACAGTATGTAATGGAACCGACGAGGGAGCAAGCTATCCTAGATCTGGTCCTGTGTAATGAGACAGGAATAATTAATGACCTCATAGTTAGGGATCCTCTTGGAAGGAGTGATCATAGTATGGTTGAATTTAGAATACAGATGGAGAGTATGAAGATAAAATCCAATACCAGGGTCCTGTGCTTGAACAAGGGGAACTACAATAGAATGAGGGAGGACTTGGCTAAAGTAGACTGGAAACAAAGATTTTATGGTGGGACAGTTGACGAGCAGTGGAGGACTTTCAAAGCAATTTTTCAAAGTGCTCAGCAAAAGTATATTCCAGTGAAAAGGAAGGACTGTAAGAAAAGGGGTAATCTGCCATGGGTGTCTAAAGAAATAAGGGAGGCTATCAAATTGAAAGAGAAGGCATACAAAGTGGCCAAAAACAGCATGAAACTAGAAGATTGGGGAAACTTTAAAGGTCAACAGAAAGCCACAAAAAGAGCTATAAAGAAAAGTCAGGTAGAACATGAGAAAAAACTAGCACAGAATATAAAGACAGATAGCAAAAGTTTCTATAAATATATAAAATGAAAAAGAGTCGCTAAAGTAAACGTTGGCCCTTTAGAGGATGAGAAGGGGAATTTAGTTATGGGATATGATGAAATGGCCGAGGCATTGAACAGGTATTTTGTATCGGTCTTCACAGTGGAGGACACTAATAACATGCCAGTAATTGACAAAGAGACGAAGGTAGGTGAGGAGCTGGAAACAATCATTATTACGGAAGAGATAGTGTTGGGCAAGCTAATGGAGCTAAGGATTGATAAGTCTCCTGGCCCTGATGGAATGCATCCCAGGGTACTAAAAGAGATGGCGGGAGAAATAGCAGGTGCACTGGCGGTAATTTTCCAAAATTCGCTGGACTCTGGGGCAGTCCCAGCAGATTGGAAAACAGCAAATGTGACGCCACTGTTTAAAAAGGGAAGTAGACAAAAGATGGGGAATTATAGACCAGTTAGCTTAACCTCTGTAGTTGGGAAGATGCTCGAGTCTATTATCAAGGAAGAAATAGCAAGGCTTCTTGATAGAAATTGTCCCGTTGGGCAGACGCAGCATGGGTTCATGAAGGGCAGGTCATGCTTGACAAATATTTTGGAATTCTATGAAGACATTACGAGCGAAGTGGACAATGGGGACCCAGTGGATGTGGTGTACCTAGATTTCCAAAAGGCCTTCGACAAGGTGCCGCACAAGAGGCTACTGCATAAGATAAGGATGCATGGCGTTAAGGGTAAAGTATTAGCGTGGATAGAGGATTGGTTAACTAACAGGAAGCAAAGAGTGGGGATAAATGAGTGCTATTCTAGCTGGCAGTCAGTGACTAGTGGTGTGCCTCAGGGATCGGTGTTGGGACCACAATTATTTACAATTTATATAGATGATTTGGAGTTGGGGACCAAGTGTAGGGTGTCAAAGTTTATAGATGACACTAAGATGAGTGGCAGAGCAAAGTGTGCAGAGGACTGTGAAACTTTGCAGAGGAACATAGATACATTGAGTGAGTGGGCAAAGGTCTGGCAGATGGAATACAATGTAAATAAATGTGAAGTCATACATTTTGGTAGGAGTAATAGTAAAAATGATTATTACTTGAATGGTTAAAAAGTTGCAGCATGCTGCTATGCAGAGGGACCTGGGTGTCCTTGTGCATGAATCACAGAAGGTAGGTCTGCAGGTACAACAAGTAATTAGGAAGGTAAATGGAATTTTGTCCTTCATTGCTAAAGGGATTGAGATTAAAAGCAGAGAGGTTATGTTGCAGCTGTACAAGGTGCTGGTGAGGCCACACCTGGAGTACTGTGTGTAGTTTTGGTCTCCTTACTTGAGAAAGGATGTACTGGCAGTGGAGGGGGTGCAAAGGAGGTTCATTAGGTTGATTCCGGAGTTGAGAGGGTTGGCTTATGAGGAGAGACTGAGTAGATTGGGATCATATTCATTGGAATTCAGAAGATTGAGGGGGGGACCTTATCGAAACATATAAAATTATGAAGGGAATAGATAAGATAGAAGTAGAGAGGATGTTTCCACTGGCAGATGAAGCTAGGACAAGAGGGTATAGCCTCAAGATTAGAGGGAGCAGATTTAGGACTGAATTGAGAAGGAACTTCTTCACCCAGAGGGTTGTTAATCTATGGAATTCCTTGCCCAGTGAAGTAGTTGACACTACTTCAGTAAACGTTTTTAAAGATAAGGTAGGTTTTTTTTGAACAATAAAAGGAATTAAGGGATATGGTGAGAACGCGGGTAAGTGGATCTGAGTCCACGAAAAGATCAGCCATGATCTTATTGAATGGTGGAGCAGGCTCGAAGGGCTGGACGGCCTACTCCTGCTCGTAGTTCTTATGTTCTTATGAACAGTCGGTGGTCTCAACTCCACTTTCCTGTGTGGCTCCCTTGCCTCTCTCCAGCTCAGCCTCGAATATAAATCAAGGGCACTGCTTTGTAGGGAAGGAATGAGGGTTAGTATTAGTCAAATCAATGGATCAAACTGCACACATTCACCCTCAAAGAGAAGGCAGTGAAACTGGTGAAAGGTGGAGGAGACTTTGCGGTATTTGTTCACAACAGGATGGGACCCAGTACAACCAGGAGTACAACGCTGTCCTCTGGCGAGGGGGTGGGGGGCAGTGTTGTGGCAAGGCAAGGCGGTCCCACAGTACAGAGCACAATAGACTAAACCGAGCAGAAAAATGAAATGATATTAACTCCTGTAATTAGAAAGGTGTGATACAAGGCATATTGAAAAAGCAACAATGACCTTCAGACTACTGCCAATAAGTCACGTGCCAGAGAGGGAGCAGACCTCCGTTTTACTAAAACAGTCTCTGCCAGCAATCTGCTCGATACAACCAGTCACAGCTGGCAAATCAAAGCGAGAACAATGTCCCACTGATTACGGCTCCAATCCAAACACCTATAGAAACAGCTATCTGTACACCAACTAGCAGCTGTGTGGCTCCTTACAGAGGTAACAACAACAACAACAATTTTTATTAACGTAGCACAGTTCACCTCAATAAGACACACCAGTGATTTTCACTGGAGCTCGTCTGAAGAAAATACAAGAGCAAGCTGCTTTTGGAAATCCTTAGGCTGGGCCACCTGGACAGAGGAGGAGCTGGCACTGAGGCAGAGGACTGTGCAACACACAGGCTTGGAAGCTCAGAGCACAGCTGTCAGTGCTGAGGCAATTCAAATCTCAACACTTCCTCAAACAAAGCGCTTTCAGAGACAGGCAGGAACACCGGAACGTAGAAACTAGGAGCAGGAGTAAGCCATTCAGCCCTTGAGCCTGTTCTGCCATTCAACAGGAATCACAGAATTATAAAGTACAGAAGTGGTCCATCCAGTCTGTACTGTAATAGTTGATCATCCAACCCCCCTTTTCCCCATTTGCTCCCCATACACTTTGATCCCTTTATCCCCAAGAACCATATCTCACTCTTCCTTGAAAACAGAGAATTCCACACACTCCACACTCTCTGGGTGAAGACATTTCTCCTCATCTCAAGGCCTACTCTGCAGTTCTGGACTCCCCGGTCATCGGGAACATCTTTCCGTGTTTATTCTGTCAGAGTTTGATAGATTTCTGTGATCCCCCTCGTTTGTCTAAATTCCAGTGAAGGCGGGGAGTCAGAGGGAGGCAGGGAGTCAGAGAGCATAGAAACAGACCCTTCAGCCCATCATGTCTATACAGAACAACAAACACCAAACTACACTAATCCCATTTACCTGCACTTCGTAGGCTATAGACTGTGCCCTGACATTGTAAGTATTTGTCTGGATGCTTCTTAAATGTTGAGAGTGTACCTGCCTCCACCACCCTCTCAGGCAGCACGTTTCAAATTTCTACCACCCACTGGGTGAAAACACTTTTTCCCCCCCTCGATCTCCTCTAACCTACTTACTCGTCACCCTTAACACAAGGTCTTAGACACATCTGCCATAAGGAAAGAAATTCTCATGATCTACTCAGTCTATGCCTGTCATAAATTTTGTTTACGTCAATCAGATTCCTCCCTCCTCTGCTCCAGGGAAAACAAACCCAGCCTATCCAGTCTCTTGTTGTAACTGAGACTTTCCATCACAGGCAACATCCTGGTGAATCTCCCTCTGCACCCCCTCCAGTGCAATCACATCCAGAACTGCACACAATGCTCCAGCTGTAGCCTAACCAATGCTCTACAAAGTTGTAACAAGATTGTACTGTTTCCCTCCCTCCCTCCTCCTCTAACCAAAAAAAAAAGGGGTGAGAGAGACGTGCTAATTTGTTGGTAATAAGGCATTGGCACGAAAGGCTTCGGTGAGCAGCGGCTCAGCAAAAAGTGCAGGTAAACTCTGATAAAGTCCTTTTAACTTTCCTCTTTAGTCTGAGAGCATTTGAGATGGTAGTTAGGTCAGTGACATGCTCCTCCTGCAGAATGTGGGAGATCAGGGAGACTTCCATCGTCCATGATGACTACCCCTGTGGGAAGTGCACCCAGCTACAGCTCCTGGGAGGCCGTGTTAGGAGGATGGAATTGGAGCTGGAGCTGGATGTGCTCAGGATCATCTGAGATGCTGAGCCCATCATAGATAAGAGTTTTAGTGAGGTGGTCATACCCCAGGTACAGGCAGAGAGTAGCTGGATGACCACCAGGAAAGGCAAAGAGAGTAGGCAGAGTGTGCAGGAATCCCATGTGGCCATTCCCTCGAAGAAAAGTATATTGTTTTGGATGCGGTTGGGAGGGCGATAGCTGATCGGGGAAAGCACCAGCAGCCAGGGTAGTGGCACTACGACTGGCTCTGGGGTACACAGAGGGAAAGGGTAAAGGTAAACAGGACCTTAGTGATAGGAGACTGGATAGATTGGGGGGCAGACAGGATATTCTGTGCCTGCAGATGGGAATCCAGGATGGTGTGTTGCTTCCCGGGTGCGAGGGTCAAGGATGTCTCGGAGCAGCTGCATAACATTCTCAAGGAGGAGGGTGATCGGCCAGAAGTCATCGTGCACAGTGGCACAAATGACATAAGAAGAAACAGGGATAAGGTCCTGAGGAATGATTATATAGAGCTAGGGAAAACAAAAAGTTAAAAACCAGGACCTCGAAGGTGGTAATCGCCAGACTACTTGCAGTGCCACGTGCTGGTGAGGGTAAGAACAGGAGGATATAGCAGATGAACACGTGGCTAAAGAATGGGTGCAGGGGGCAGGGATTCAGATTCCTGGATCATTAGGATCTTTTCTGGGGCAGAGGTGACCTGTTCCAGAGGAACAGGTAGCACCTGAACTGGAGGGGGACCAATGTCCTGGTGGGCAGATTTGCTAGAGCTACAAGGGAGGGTTTAAGAGATAGTAGGAACTGCAGATGCTGGAGAATCTGAGATAACAAGATTTAGAGCTGGATGAACACGGCAGGCAAAGCAGCGTCAGGGGAGCAAGAAAAGTAGATTGGCAGTGGAGGGGGCGTTTTGGGATCCTCAATAGTGGGGAGGCAAGTGCGAGGCTGGAAGGAGATACAGTAATTAGAAATAGCAAGTTGCAGACAGCTCAGGTTGAAGCATGACACACAGCGAGGAACACATGTTGGATTAAGCTGCATCTATTTCAGTGCAAGAGGACTGACAGGTAAGGACAATGAACTCTGGGTGTGGGTAGGTATGTGGGGCTGTGATATTATAGCCATTACAGAAACATGGCTGAGGGAGGGACAGGACTGGCAGCTTAATGTGCCAGGGTGCAGGTACCTTAGGCAGGACAGAGGTGGAGGAAAGAGGGAAGGGGAGTCGCATTTTTGATTAAGGGGAGTATCACAGCTTGAGTCAGAGACGAAATAACTGAGGGATCATCCAGTGAGGCTTTGTGGGTGGAACTAAAAAATAAGAAGGGGATGGTGACGTTATTGGGTTGTACTATAGTCCCCCAAATAGTCAACGGGCATTAGAGGAACAAATATGCAGGGAGACTGGGGAGACTTGCGGGAGAAATAGGATTGTCATAGTGGGGGTTTTAATTTTCCTAACATAGACTGGCTCTGCCATCGTGTTAAGGGCTTAGATGGGGTGGAATTTATTAGGCGTGTTCAGGGAAGTTTGCTCAAGCAGTTTACGGAGGGTCCTACTCGGGAAGGGGCAAAACCCGACCTACTCTTGGGAAATAGGGCAGGACAGGTGCCCGAGGTGACAGTGTGGGAGCACTTTGGGACCAGAGACCATAGTTCTATTAGTTTGAAAGCAGTTATGGATAAAGACAAAATTGGTCCACAGGTTCAAGTTCTAAACTTGGGCAAGGTGGATTTTGATGGAATTAGACAGGAGCTTGCAGGGGTTGATTGGAGTATCATCATCATCCAAATCGTTAACGTCCATAACAAACAGCAAGGGTCCCAGCAACAATCCCTGTGGTACACCTCTGATCACAGGCTTCCAATCACAATCACCCTTTGGCTTACAAATCGATCCAGTTTGCCAAGTTGCCATAGATCCCCATGGGCTCTGGCCGTTAAGACCAGCCTTCCATGTGGGAGCTTGTCAAAGGCCTTACTGAATTCCATGTAAACCAACTCAGGACAGTGGGATGAGGGGAAACTCGGGTGATGTTACCCCAGGCAGAGACTTTGGGTGGGAGTTGAGGGGAGAGGGGATGCTAGACAGGGTGTTTCCCTCTCCAGGGCACTCTCCCATGTTACAGGCTTTTCCGGGATCAGACTAGGACGTAGGCGCCAGGCTCTGGGGCCACTGTTACTTAACCTGCGCTTTACAGAATCTCGGACATTTGGATGATGTTGATTCAGCTGAGTAGGCATCAGTCAGGGACTGCTTCTCCCCTCCACAGCACCTCCCAGACCCTCCCCTCCCGCTGAATCCCGTGACCAAAATTATCTAATGACCCCAGAATGACATTTCAAGTGTTCCTGGTGAGGTGATGCCAGGATATGGTGCTGATGTGGGCAGACCCCAGAACACCATGTGAAGCTAACAGCCAGCAGAATTTCCAGCCCAGACTCTCGCATTACAGAATCACTCCACTCCCAGATCGATGGTACCCACTCACTAATCCATCAGGATCATTACAAACCCATTAGCATCCAGCAACACCAGAAACTACTGCCCTGGGCAGTAATATATCCAGGGATTTAGAACCAGCTCATAGAAAACTGACTCACCGGAATCATCCAGTTGGCCAAATCCCCAAATTTCGATACCTGCATCCCACCAAGCATCGTCATATTCACATGGCCCCTGGAGTGAGACAGACACAAACAATTCCATTTAGCAAAACAAACGACATCTGTTCATTATTGTAGCCAGGAGCCTTAGAGGTCATCATAAAAAGACAGGTTTGCTGCAGTCAGACATGGATAGCCCAGAGATAGAGACAGAGTAAAGCTCCACTACACTGTTCCCAAACACTCTCAGGACAGGGACAGCACGGGGTTAGATATGAAGATTTCTTTTATCTGCTGTTGAGACGTGGTCATTGCTGGTAGGGCCAGTATTTATCATTCAGGGGCAGTTCAGAGCCAACCACATTGCTGTTGGTCTGGAGTCACATGTAAGCCAGGCCAGGTAAGAATAGCAGTTTCCTTTTGTAAAGGACATTTGTGAACCAGATGGGTTTTTCCAACAATTAATAATGGACAATGGATTCATGGTCATCATAAGACACTTAATTCCAGAGTTTTTTTACTCGAATTCAAATTTCACCATCCGCCATGACAGGATTTAAACCCAGGTTCCTGGAACATTTTCTGGATTAACAGTCCAGCAATAATACCACCAGGCGATTGCTTCCCCTTAAGGGACGCCCCTCCCTTTAGGACACGAGTGATCCTGATGGGTTTTACAACAATCGACAATGGTTACATGGTCATTAGACCCACTTTTCATTCCAGCTCCTACTGGATTCAAACGTTGTTATTTGCCACAATGGGATTCAAACCCCTGTCCCCACAACACTGGCACGGGATTCTGGATGCCTAGTCCAGTTACTGCCACTACACTAGTGCCTCTCCTGGTCAATTATCAGTATAGGTCCAAACTGAACTCACCACATAAACACAGTGGCTACAAGAGCAGGTAAGAGGCTAGGAATACTGTGGTGAGGAACTCACCTCCGGACTCCCCAAAGCCAAGGCACAAGTCAGGAGTGTGATGGAATACTCCCCACTTGCCTGGATGGGTGCAGCCCCAACAACACTCAAGAAGCTCGACACCATCCAGGACAAAGCAGCCGCTTGATTGTCACCACATCCACAAGTATCCACTCTCTCCACCCCCGACGCTCAGTAGCAGCAGTGTGTACTATCTACAAGATGCACTACAGAAATTCACCAAAGATCCTCAGATATCAACTTCCAAACCCACAACCACTTCCATCCAGAAGGACAAGGGCAGCAGACACATGGGAACACCACCCCCTGCAAGTTCCCCTCCAAGCCTCTCACCATCCTGACTTAGGAATATATCGCTGGGTCAAAATCCAGGAATTCCCTCCCTAAGGGCATTGTGGGTCAACCCACAGCACATAAACTGCAACAGTTTAAGGCGGCAGCTCACCAACACCTTCTGTTATGAAGAAGTGATCAACCGCCCTCTGATAACTGAAACCGAAACACCCAGATAAGCTCACCTTACTTCATAATCTATTAAAGGAGTGGTTATAAAGTGAGTATCAGGGATTTCTTTCATTTAATGAACAAGTAACAAGTTACATTTCATTTATCCAATTACAAAGTTAATAAATTAACAGAACTACTAATGAACCGAACAATACCCCCTCAATTAAATAAAACAAAAATCTAATAGTACGTTGTTCCAGTAAATACAAGTCCCACTAATATAAACCAAATTAAATAATAAAAAATAAATTAAAGCTTACTATCTCAAAAGTGTTCTTTGCCTTCTATGCTGTCCTTCAGTCAGGCATGCCTTCCTCTGTTGAATTCTTGTGTCAGGAATATTAGCTAACAGTGCCCATAGTACCATTTTTTTTTTTATAAAAAAAGATGGTGCTTACTCAAATCTTAGATTCCTGAGAGAGCCAGTAATTTTCTCTTTTAGTGCGGATGGCTGTACAGACCTGTTCTCTCAACAGATGGCAGTTTGCTGTCACCCCGAGTTTCAAATGCCCTCTTCTTTTAAACCCTTGATGACCTATTAATTTCTTACAGTAGGATTGGTCCAAGATTGTCAAAACCATCAGATTTAAATTTCCGATGTAGAGGAAGCCACACCGGGTACAGCGGATGCAGTATACCAC